GTGAAATCGATGTGAAGAGTTAGTTATGTCTAATTAACTCCCATTGATTTCAATTGGGACGAATGCAAGCCAATGCATTTTGTTTTCTCAAAGTAATAAAATAAGTTTAGGTCTAGTACAAAACAAAATGTTGCATAGATTTATTCATTTGCTTTAAAATTCATATGCCAGTTTTTGACCTTCAAGGACATCCAAAAGTGTTGTAAAATCAAATTAAAAAAACAACAACAAACAGCAAAAAGTGATAGAACATAAAGGAGACTGCATTCTCAGTCGGACTGCACCAATGCCTAATAGCTCTTATTATTGAAATGCTTCTTCATATTTTTGCAAAATCAGCTTCCTTAAAACTGACACTCATAGGTTATAGTCCTGTCGCTTGGAACAAAAGGAAACTAGTTTGCTGCATCCTGTGCATCACAGTTCTTCAGATATTTGGAGACCACATTCATGTATCCCCTTCACCTCTATTCCAGATTGCATCTCACTTATTTTGCCCCATATGACTAAAAAAAACAAGCTGGTCTCTCAATGCACATCCCCAGCTGAAGTTCTGTTTTTTGGCACTATGTGGAGACTTGATGACACATTGTTGGCTAATTCACACGTTACAGAGAGGAAGAAGTTTAAAAAGTAGCATGATGGAACTCATCCATTTCACCAAACAAAATATCCCAAAGACCCAGCAGCTGCTCCTAGGGTTGAGGGCCCATTACTCAGTAGCAGAGCGCATGAGTAATTATTTGTCATTAAAGGGATTTCCAGAAGCAGAGCTTAGAAAGAACTTTGCCTGAGGCCACAGAGAGATATTGGCAGTCAAAACAGACTGTACTGGACTAGAAGAGTCAATGGTGTGGCTCATTATATGGCCACTTCATGTGTCCATATGCACATGTCCCGCTTTCTGCAGAAGTTATCGTGAGAAGCTCAGTCCTCAAACAGAAAGAGAAGTCAATTAAACCATAAACAAGTACATCGTGCAACACTTCAGAACTTCATGTGAAGCACACAGCCACATCTTGTGGAAACTGTAATGAGACATAATGAGGAAAACAGAGGCAGATTTCAGATGTGTGGACTGAAAAGTTCTTACACAGGTTGGGTCACACTTCATTAATCTAACATTTTTCAGTTCAACAGCAAGATTCAAATTGCCTTCTTTGTTTTCCAGATAGGCAGCTCTAGTCCATAGATATATTGAATTGAATTTATGATGGTCCCAGACCAGACTCACATGTCCCTAGATATAGATTCTGAACATTTGCAAAGTTAGGGCAGTTTGGAACTGGGGTTTCCATTTAGGCCACTGTAAGAACAAGAGCTATTGATCTATTTCAGATTGGCTCTGGTTTAGAGTAAACACAACAGAGCATCTCAGAACAAAGGGTCCTATTTAGATTCTCCTCTAATCAAAATGAAAATGAAAATAAGCTTATTGAAATTGCATGAAATTAGAAAGGGGTGATTTCCCCCAGGCATGCACTGGAACAGCTTGGAAAACATGCCAAGCTCCTCTCCCGCAAAACCAGAAATAATGCAATGTATTTTATGATCTGTTCCAACATCTAACGTGGCCCATCACTCTTTTGCTCACCCAGGCCAGAACCATCCAATCCCCTTCTCCCTATAAACTCAACTGACTGGCCCATGCCAGTCTAGCAGGAGTGGGAGCAGGGAATTCAGCTTGGAGCAAGCAGGCAGGTTCCTGGAGTGAAGACTGCAGCTGCAGCACTTGGCCATGCTGCTGTCATGCTACGCAGGGCGAAGTTATAGTTTCGTGTTGTGGTTTGTCTCTCCCAAACACACAACAAGCAGTAAAGCAGCAACAAAGCTGGTTACAGCTCATCATTTGTCTGGCATTGTCTGAGGTGACTTTGATGAGGCAAAGAAAACAAATTACACTTCAACCATAGTTAGGGACTGTCTGGATTCACATGTAACAAGATTCAACCATTGTCAAGATCAGTAAGCCAACAACAAACCATGGCTTGTTTTTTTCCAACAAACTATACTTAATAAACCATAGTTGCAATACTAGGATGGGTTCACATGTTACACTAAACTGTGGTTTATTAATTAAGGTTTATGCAAATCATGGTTTAATGTTATGTGTCCATCAGAACCAGTGTATTGTGGGCAATAAGCCCCTTCGGTTCTTCATTATTTCTGTGGTAAATCATAGAATCACAAAATTGCAGAGTTGGAAGGGACCACAAGTGTCATCTAGTCCAACCCTCTGCCATGCAGGGATCTTTTGCCTATCATGGGGCTCAAAGCCACAAGCCAGAGATTAAGATTCCCATGCTCTACTCCTTGAGGTTTCCCAGCTACACTATCAAGTATCCACTCCCTTACTGTAAGCTTCATGTACAGGTTTCCCATTTTTATTTTGAATAAATATTGGAAAAGCTCCCTCTGTCTCTGTCTTTCATTATTCTCTTGCACCTCCTTCTCCAGAAGCCCATGCATTTCCCTCAACAGTCCATGCAAAGGCTGCACAGAATAACCTTAATTTGCAGTAGCATCTTCCACACCACCATTTCCTATGAATTCTTTCCTTGTGCTCCAAGTTCAAACTCTGGAGAACTCTTTTGATATCAAGTGGCTCATTTCTGCATCTCTCATGGGTGACTGAAGCCACTCGTAAATCCAACCGAAACTTTGTCTATGCAGCCTACGCTTGGAGCAGACTCCCTCTGTTGTCTCCATGACTCTTATTCCTTTCATTGTTTCGAACACTATAGCAATTTACAGTTCAGATCAACATACTTTTCTGGAAATAACCATATGTCAGGCAGAATTATTCACAAATGCAGCATATGTACTAAGGATTGCTGCGTGTTAGACATACCTATCCATACCAAATACACTGCTTTCACACTGGGAGCAGAAATAATACATATCTGCATTTTCTTGTACCCTGTAACTTATACTCTATAGTATATTTTTATTAGAATAATTGTTGTCATGCTGAAGTTTGCAGGAGAAAGGAGAAAACTATATGTAAAGAAATGGGGGGGGGGAGAGAGAAAGTGAGCTATACTTCACCACTAGGGGTCCCCTTACTCCCTTGTCTAATTTCTGCAGAGAACAAACTTTGCAAGTTTCCCTCTCCACTTTGATAATGAGTAGGATGAGGAATAATGAACTTAGGCTCATTAGCCGGCAAGGAATGAGAACTCTGCCAAACTGTGATAGAATGGGTTGTCTTCATTACAAGATGGTGGGGGTGGGGAAACAGAAAAGAAAAAGCCTGGAAGCAGATTTCTGCATAGCCATCCTGGAAAGCAGCACCTCATATAATTACAATCCTCATTCCTTCCAACACTTGAAAACCACAAGGCCACTTAAAATATTACTTATTGTCATGGGCTGGTGTATTTAGTAGCTCTCGCTCATGCACTTCTCATTAAAACAGTGCAATCATAAACTTTTAATTGGGGAAGTCACAAATGTAACCAGACCTCTTTTATAGGAATGACCTATGGCCTCTCTCTAGTGTGGAACATCACATTTCAACTTGTATGACGTGCTTTTGAAGCTGGAAATCTCTACTCACAAAGTAGAAATGCAGGGCTTAGCAACTGAAAATATACAAAAGCTGGTTCTTCCTTGCTACTCACTACAAAAACCACTTCTATTAACTAATTCAGGTGCAAACAGCAAAAGAGGGAACCCCGGACCAAGTGCACAAAGTTTCATAGAAAAATGCTTCACATGTGATGCACATCACATCACATTAACACGTACACGTCTCAGACAAAACATATGACAGTGGGGAAACTATCAGCATTATTTCAAGCTAGATAATCATTTAAAAGGTATGAAATGACAGTCATACTATAGGAAGAAGCTCCAGCTACTAAAGACTTTATACTATTTTGGAATATATGGATAGGATATCCTGAGAGTAGTTCTCTGAGCCTTTAACATGTCCAAGTCAATTAGACAGAATATCCCACTATCTTGGATTTTGCAAAGCACTGAAAGAACTATTTTTTCTTGCAGGCTGAGCCCAGAAGTGGCAGAACTGGGTTGCCGTTATAACCCTTTGCAGGGCTTTTTTTCAGAGGGAACTCACAGGAACTTAGTTCCGGCCCCTCTCAGGTGGGCACCATTGCCATTCGGATAGAACGAGGGAGGTGTTCATGGTGAGTTCCAGCACCTCCTTTTCTAGAAATATATCACTGACCCTTTGATAGAGACAAAGAATATTTGACGAATCTTTACCATAGTTGGAATGCAATTCATATGTTAAGATGGCAGTTCATATATTAAAAGTTACTGGGTTTGATAAGCTCATGCAGCACAGCTCTACCTTGTTGTGCAAACATTGCTGGCCAGACCAGGCTTTCAGGATGACACCTATATCTCCCTTTTATCACCAATAAGGAATACTGCCAGCGTGGGTCTCAATTGACCCAGTCAGGTTCCTCCATGTTCTTTCACCATGGGATGGCTCAAGTCACAGCCCTGGTGCATCCACAGCCCATAAGGTGAGGTGCAAGCTTTGAGTTCAAGTCTCCTGCCATGTGTATGAAAAGGGACCTATGCATGCAAAATAAATGATGGGTATTCCATGACTGCATGTGGCTGTTTCCACAGCAAACAGATAACGTGGAACGGAATAGGAAGCTATGTGCCCGGCTTTGCCCTCCAGTTTTTACAGATTCTTCATGTATCTGTGTGGACACTTACAGCTCACAAGCCAGCACAGAATGGGGAATCATTCAATAATAGTATTTCTCATCTGAAATGGTACAGTCACCTCCATCCCAGGACTCTACTGCCTGTTCCTGATGTGTCCACAGATCTGGCTTAGTTCAGGCGATGATGGTGGGCCTATATTCTCTATAGGCATCGAAGGTATTAACAAAATGTATTAACAAAATCACCCTGCTCTCCTTGTCATGAATGATACACTTGATAGCTGCCAACTGAAAACATTACAGTACATAAAGAGGGTTAAAAAAATAGGCACCAAAGCCTTCAAAACTTACCAGGCAGTTGAACTGGGAAAAGACATCAGTGGCGGATTTAAAGCATCTGCTTTTAATGCTTGTGCTGCCTGCAGTGTTTGAGGCGTAGGCTGAGTCGGAGCCTGTACTTGTCTTGGGTCCTGAGCAGGTTTAATCCACCGGCTTGCTTCCGGTTTCATCCATTTCCCCTCGATTCCCCATCTTGCCAGGTACAGTTTGCAAATATCGTAGTTCATTGAGGAGTAATACAAAAGGTCCAGTACCAGCAAAACCACCACAAAAAACCCATAGATCCAGACGCCTAACAATGCACTGTAATTACTGCAAAAAGAGACAAAGCAAAGGTTAATAATGAGCCATGACTATTGGCCACTCCAGTCAGCCACTTCATATTTTAAAATGCATACAGGTATTTTCTGTCTGCCAGAATGTATGGTTATACCTCTCTCTCCCTTTAAAAAGCTCAAAGCTGCTTACACGGGGACTCCCAATGTTCACACAGTGCTACCTATCTTCTTTACATAGTCTAAGTACAGTGGTACCTTGGTTTACAACCATAATCCGTTCCGGAGGTCTGTTTGTAAACCAAAACAGACTGTAACCCAAGGCGTGCTTTCGCCAATGGGGCCTCCCAAAAAAATTTCTTCGTAATCTAAAAAAAATAATAAAAAAATGAGCTGTAATCCAAAAAAAGTTTGCAAACCAGACTGTTTGCAAACCAAAGTACCACTGTACCTGATTGTGGCTCAAAGTCACTCCAAGACATGGTTGCTTCTAAAAGCCAAATTATAAACTCAACAGGTTTTTGCTGGACTGTAACCAACTTCAGTCTGCAGGTTGGGAAGTTGCGAGTTGAAATGCTGCCCCCCCCTTAAAAACAGCCATTTCCATTGAAGACTACAGAAAACAAGGGTGGCAGGGAAAACTTTTTCCTTGAAACCTAATTTGCACTTGGTTTGTTTTTTTAAATTTTGGTTGTTTTTATTATTTTTGAGACATTCAAGCATGCAGCTGCTCAGTTCTGTAAGAACTGCAACACATGATTCTGCTGGTTGTGTGGTTCAGTTCTAAGAATAACATGGATAGTGCTGAATTACTCCTTCTGGTCTTGCTTTCAGGTTGCAGAGGCCTCCATAAGCACTAACTTATGGCTTCCAAAACCCAATGTTGAAAGTGTCCTTCAGTGGGTGTTAATGAAAAGGATAAGTGTGTTGTGTGTCTGGTTGGGGCTGGAGCCAGTATACTTTTCTGGAAACTAAGTATTTTTATTCCATAGTTCTGCTTGGGTCAAATACCTCCACCCAACTCATTGCATTATGCTATTCTGCTCCCAGCCCGGTTCATTTCTATGCTGCCCAAGATGCTTTGCTGTTCAGGATGTCACACAAATTACATTTGGGTGCCACAAATTACCATTGGAATTAAACGACAGGGAGAGGAAAGCATTTCATATGTAAATTTTATTACTCCAGTAAGTAGGAAAATTAAAGGACAAGAAAAACCTCTTTGAGCAAATTTTCTACTTTAACCAGACCTTTAAATGATTTCATCTCTTTCAAATACAATGGTTCAATTCTCACCTAGCAAGCTGCACAGCACTGGTCCTGTTTCAGAACAGTATGAGGCCATGTCAACATAAAGTAGGTTTTAGCCTGAAGTGGTTTATTATGCATGCTTTACACTGCAAAGAATACATTTCAGCTGGTATTTGCTTGTCAAAGTCTACTCTTTGATTATATAGAAAAGAGAAAGGAATTGGAGAAACCCCCAGGGTCTGTTGGGCCAGAAACTGATGGTTAAGCAGGGCATGTCCAGCTTCACAGCTGATGAGTCAGGAGACAGAAGTACCAGTTCATGCTCTGGGCTCTGGTGTGGGACATGAGCGTTACAGCATTTTAAGCTGCCTGTTGGAGAAATACTTAGCTGGATTAGAACAAGGAAGAGGTTAAGACAAAGATTAGGGGGAAAAAATGTCTTTGACAAGTTGTGGAAATAAATATTTATCACCATGGTAACTTTATCACTTCTTGTAATAGAAAACTTCCATAAGATGTCACAGAGCTGGCATCAAATCCCACAACATTCAGCAAAGATACAGCTAGATGTTAATGGAACATGGTGAAAACGTGGGGAGAAAGTCGCAAATTATGTTTTGGTGGAGGTGTGAAAAGATTATGAGGTCTTCAATAGTTATTTTGCAGATATACAAGAAATAATTGGATACTTCATTCGAATGAACTCTAGTTCATATCTTAAAGAAGATGTGAAACCAAAATATCCAAATTTAGTTGGAGTTTTGTTAACTGCTACCAAAATATTGATAGAACGTAAATGGTATGCTTCTGTAAGTCCAAAAGAATAGGTATGGTTTAATCAAATTTGGGTTTTTGGCACCATGACAAAATTGATGGTGGGGCAGGTAGACAAAAAATATATGAAAAAACCTGGAAATTTATGGTTCATTCTTATTAAGCACATGAAAATAGAACATTAATTAGAACTATTTAAGGCTTTTTCACTGCTGTCTTAACTGACTAATTAATTTGCACCATAAAAAGGTAAAGGTAAAGGTACCCCTGCCCGTACGGGCCAGTCTTGCCAGACTCTAGGGTTGTGCGCTCATCTCACTCTAGAGGCCGGGAGCCGGCGCTGTCCGGAGACACTTCTGGGTCACGTGGCCAGCGTGACAAAGCTGCATCTGGCGAGCCAGCACACGGAAACGCCGTTTACCTTCCCACTGGTAAGCGGTCCCTATTTATCTACTTGCACCCGGGAGTGCTTTCGAACTGCTAGGTTGGCAGGCGCTGGGACCGAACGACGGGAGCGCACCCCGCGGCGGGGATTTGAACCGCCGACCTTTCGATCGGCAAGTCCAATTTGCACCATAGAACTTCTAAATATATGATATAGGTTTCTAGCACTGTATTTTATATTTGCACTGCATTACATTAAAGCTACTATTTTAGTGGATGTTGATATAAACTGTAAATTTAGTGAATATTGGAATATGTGATTTGTCAGCCATAGAATAAGTTTGTTATAAATTATAAAATTTTGAACAAGAAAAAAGCAAGAAGAAGAGTAGTAGTAGTAGTAGTTTGGATTTGATATCCCGCTTTATCACTACCCTAAGGAGTCTCAAAGCGCTAACATTCTCCTTTCCCTTCCTCCCCCACAACAAACACTCTGTGAGGTGAGTGGGGCTGAGAGACTTCAGCAGCAGCTGCATGTGGAGGAGCTCTTAACCACTACACCACACTGGCTCTCAAAAAAAGGGTGCGTGTGGAGCAAACATATCTGGTGGGATTTCAAAGACTAACAGGCTTATTACGGCACAAACATAGCTACCCCTCTAAAAAAGTTAGGCCAGTAGTTCACAGACACTGTGCTAAATGCAACCACCAAAATAGTGTTGCTTTTCATTGGGAACAGTTACATGCTTACACTGCTAAAAAGAGCAAAAGAAATTTTAAAAAAGCTATTAGTGATGGAAGAAAAATGACTGAACTGATAGCGATGCTGATGAAATCACTCTTTTTTGGACTCATGAGCCATTGTTATTCAGAAAAAACAAGAAAAAACACAGTGCTATCAAGGGCAATCCACTCACGAAACTTCTGCACAGTGAACCAATGTGGATCCCAAGTGTTTAGGAAGAAGGACAGGCAGGACCCCTCTCAGACAAGAGGTTTTATTCCTTCCTTACCTTGCTAAAAGTCATGGCACTTGACAGCCTAACAAGAATTCAATGGCACAAATATTAGCACCTCTTTAGATCAGCATCATCTGTTTACCCATACACATACTTTTTAAGGCACTCATTTTTGTTCATTAAAAATCATTTAGTGAAAAATGAATAGTGTTTTAAAATGGCAGCTTATTAAATTGGCCGTATGTGGGATCTCCATCTGTTCCTTTAAAATAACATCTGCTTCCAACAAGTTAAAAATGAAAAGCCAGACATAACCGTGCCCCCCCCCGCAAAATGTTTTGTTTAAATCCTAAGGCAAAGTGGATATACTTGTTCCTTATTCCATTAAGCACTGTCTTTTAGTACAATCTGGCAGGTCAAGTAATGGAGTGATAATCAGACACCACTTTATTGTACTATCACAGCACTAAAGTGAAATTCTTCTGAGCACTGGGGCCTGTAAAGTCTGCCCAGGGTGAAAAGGGGTTTGGCGAGTTCGGAAATGGGTCTCTGTGGACTTATTGGGCCCCCTGCGCTAAAGCCACTTAGTTTTCATCTTCCATAGCTCCCACTGATTTCTGACTGCAATAAAAAGGCTTCCATCCTTGACCTTATCCTGAAGTTCCCAGTGGCTGTGGAGGGACTTGACCTCTGCCTCAACTGCTTCACAAAATGCACAGATAGGGGAAATGTACTCCCTCTCAGCGCTGTTGCAAATTCATTACACACCATGTATAGGGGTACACCTCAGTCTCAGTAATACTGAAGATGCTGTTTATTAAAACAAGAAAATAAAAAGTGATGCCTTGTTTCCAATGAGGGAGTAAGACAGGGCTCGGGCAGCTTAATATTTTAAATGGCACAGCTGAACGAGAGAGAGAAAGTCACAATATGCCGAAGTGCAAAGCTCGCAAGGAATTCAGATGAATAATTCATCAAAGTTTTATAGCATTAATTCATAAAGGAACTTTAAAGCAAAATAAAATGTTAAAAAAGGCAGGAAGTGGAATGAATTCAATTTGCTGCTAAGGTGCTTTGATGGTCACTACTCACATTAGATTCTAAGAATGTGCATGTAGTAATGAATTTATCACCGCATGAAACGTATGAACTAGGGAAAGGCTTCTTCTCATATTTAAAAGGTAGGAAAGATCTAGTGCAGTGCAATCAAAGCAGGATGTCAGCCATTAGCTAAGGCAAGTCACTTGCAATAACTTCTCTGGCTAGATTAATGTGACCAAACCACCAGGGTGTGACCATGTCAAAGTTAAAGTGCCTTTAAGCCACACTTAAAAGAGAATTAAGCATTTGTGTCTGTGATAGGGATGCCCTGCAGCACCCAATAAATGGCAGGAGACTTTATACTAGTAGTTAATTGCTCCCTGTTACCAGCGCAACTTACTTGGGCTGGCTGCTTTCTACTCAGGAGGCAAATTCAGAACAGCAACTCAGAAACGCAGTCTTGGTTCCTCCAATGGAAATAAATGCGTATCCTTTCACACACTAAAATAAATCCTTTTTGGGTATATGGCACTGAAGTGTGTCTTAATTAAGCTTTCTCTGGAAAGTGCCACTAATAGAACCATAGAATTCCAGAGTTGGAAGGGACCCTGAGGGTCATCTAGTCCAACCACCTGCAATTCAGGAATCTTTTGCCCACAGCCCTGAGATTAAGAGGCAAATGCCTCCCTTCTTTTTCCAGCAGTGTTTCCAGCAATGTATGAGGAAATCAGGTGATATCACCATTTCCTTAACCTTTCTTACAATAAAATGGTGCTTATTCCCTAATAAATATCTTTAGCATCGGGACGGCAGAAGAAAACTTGTTTTATTCCTGTAGTCAGGATGGTGCTATGATTTAAGTAACTGCACGTGCTCAGAGCAGCTGTTCCTTAAAAAACAAAGCCAAGGTTGGCAAACAGTTTTTTCTTTGTTCTTAGCTCTAACGTATCAGGGATGCTGAAACAGTTGCAGTGCGTGGAACGGCAGTGGAAGACACAAATGGGGTCTTCCCATCCAAAGCCGCTCCGGGACTGTTACGTCCAGGGTCTAAAATTACCACTAGCTACACTGCCTGCTTTAAAGCCTTCTCCTCCCGCATGACGAGAAGGACAAGCCTAGTTGCCTAGGGCATAGCAATTAATGTGGATGTTTAGCTGGAACACCTGAGGTATAAATTATGCTTAATGAAGCACAGACAGTTTGATCTAACAGCAAAAGGACCTCTTCCTTCAGTTCAGTTTAGAATGAAGTTAATTACAGTTGGAAAATAAGCTAGCAGTGATAATGCACATCATGTCTGTGATAATTAAAAAAAAAGTTAGAATGTATTATTGGATTAAGACTGAGCAGCAGTTGCAGAGCCAAAACTTTTTGGTGCAGCGGATAACATGTTCTCCGAAACTCTCTCCAAAAACTTTGCATTTTCACACCAATTTGCTCCTGCTTTCCTACCCCACCTCCCTGCAGATTTAGTGCATTTATAAATGAATTAAAAGATGGGTCCACTGACTGTGTGATGCAAACAATGAGGAGTCATGAAGCCAGCTGGGTGATGTCATGGCAGCATGCAGCCAATCAGATTTAGCCACAAGACAATACCTTGAAACCAAATTGTCCCTGCCCTCCCTCTGCATGAAAGTACTATTTCTAACAAAAATATGCAAATATGCAATGTAGAATTAACACACACACAGCCTCATTTCAGCTCAGCCCTAGCATATACAACACACAGAGACAGCCTATGCGATGCCCTGCAGATGTTGTGGGCTACAACTCCCATTTGCCCATGAAGATGGGAGTTGGCTCCCTCCAGATGTTTTGAACGACATGTTGGCTACCTCTGCTTCAGCACTTCACATTCTCTCGGTCACACGGACAACAAGACAGAGGTTGAATGCTTAAAGAGCAAGACTTTCCAGAGAAGCCATCCCACATCCATTGTTCTGCAAGGGCAACTTGTGCATTGGCGCCATAAAGGCTTTGTAAGAAGAGTTGGGGAATCTCCGGCCTGTGGACTTAATTATGGCCAAGCCACACCCACCTTCCCCACACCGGATGTCCTATGTGATTCCAGATGTGGAGCAGGTACACCAATGGAAGCCAAGGAGGTGAAAAAACTTAATATGGGCTCTAAATGGCCTAAATACTCTGAAATTTTAGAACAAGATGGTGAAAAAATTAAATTGCAGAGCTATGAGAAATTAAAGTCCAAGGTGAGAGACTGGCTTCATTATCTTCAGATAAACGAAGTATTTAAACAGGACAGGAAAAAAGGCTTCCAAGTGGAGAGGTCAAAACTAGAAACAGAATTGTTAGAACCCAATACTAAGAATCTGTCTAGAATGTATAACTTGCTGTTGAAGTGGAATACTCAAGATGAAACGGTGAAATCAGCTATGATTAAATGGGCACAAGATATTGGTCATGATATCGTGCTTGCTGACTGGGAGCAGTTATGGACCACCGGTGTTAAATTCACGGCATGTAATGCCTTAAGAGAAAACATTATGAAAATGATTTACAGATGGTACATGACCCCAGCCAAGCTAGCAAAGATCTATCATTTGCCCAATAATAAATGTTGGAAATGTAATGAGACTGAAGGTACTTTCTACCACCTTTGGTGGACCTGCCCGAAGATTAAAGCCTTCTGGGAAATGATCTATAATGAAATTAAGAAAGTTCTGAAAAGAACCTTTCCTAAGAAACCAGAGGCTTTTCTTTTGGGCATGGTGGGCCAAACGGTGTCAAGGAAGGATAAGACGTTTTTTATGTATGCTACAACAGCAGCAAGGATCCTTTTAGCAAAGTATTGGAAGACACAAGAACTACCCACTTTGGAAGAATGGCAGACGAAGGTGATAGACTATATGGGACTGGCGGAGATGACTGGCAGAATCCGAGACCAGGGGAAGGAGACAGCGGAAGAAGACTGGAAGAAATTCAATATATATCTTAAAAATTGTTGTAAAATTGATGAATGTTAAGATGTCAGGGAAACGGGAAATAAAGAATTACAGTTGTAATTAATAAGTTAAGGAAGAAAACTAAAAGAAACGATCTGAATAATTGGATGATTGAAGGGTTGCTGAAAAAATTTGAAATAAGGATGCAGAAAAGGGGTGGTATGGGGAAGTCCAAGAAGTAAGGTGTATGAAAATAAGATTATGAAATTATACATGTTTATTTGTTTGTATGTCATTGTATTGTGATTTGTTTGTTTTTATTTTATATGTGAAAAACTAATAAAAAATTTATTTAAAAAAAACACAGATGTGGAGCAGGTAAAGACTTGCAAGCACGGCCAACAAGCTTGTCAGCAGGGCTAACAAAAGCACCATGTCTTTGTCCACAGGTTTAGATTTCAAACTGCATGCATGAAACACTGTGTTGTCAGGTGATTGACAGATGGGCCACCTTCCCCACCTGTCAAATTTGGTACCTAGAGGGTGGTGTAGATAAGGATGTGGCCCTGCCCACCAGGTCTAGATCCTGGTTCCTGTCCAAAGATAATCTCAGCCATTAAACAAAGGGTCCCCTCTTTCCCTCTCAAATTAAGATGGGGGTGACTGAGATCTCACCAGCGCTGCCCTTTGCAGTGCACTCAAGTTCCATATAAGCAAAGGTTTTTTAAAAAAAATGGGGAGGGAAAGGTGCATAACCACACCCTTGGTGACAGTCACATTCTCTAGGCAGGCAGGCAAGCAGGCAAGGAAAGCTCTCACCAATATAGACATTATATTTTAAAAGCAGAGTGATGATTCCATCATCTAGAGACGGGGCTTTTGATGCCATTCCCCCCTCCCACCCCTCTCCTGGGGGGCCAAGCGGCAGCTGCCATTAGGAAAAATAACAACGGAGAGGAATTCAGGATTTCAGCATAGTTGTGATTGGGAGACAGTGTATCCACACTGACCTCCCCTCCCCAGAAAAAGGAGGAGTTCATGTTGTTTCTAACTCAGGTCTTGTTTCATGGAAAATGTATTTTTTTTTTAAGCAACAAGTTTTTAAGCATTAAAAATTGACACCCTAATGCAATACATAGTACAGTTATCACATCCGTGCTGCAAATTAGGGTGCTAAATACAAATGGCTTAAAGAGAACCCTGCAGTGTAGCCCACTGCTGGTATTGTAAACTGGAGATACAGCTGAGGCTGAAAGGGCGATTGTCAACAAAAGCTTCATGGTGAGAACCCCCACCTCTTTTTCTACGAAAAAACACTGGCAACACCAACAACTCTGAGTAGTAGTGGCCTTTCCCAGTCTTGCTACCCAAGAAAACCTGGGCTGTGCCTCGTCTTTCTTTCTTTTTTAAAAGCCACACCACATTTCCTCCAGTGACACATGCTTTTCTGGGATTTGAACAGAGAACCTCTTGTCATCAAAGTAAGCATCGTGTCTCACTGCACTTGAAATACCATGATCACACGAACACAGGAGGTCAAGCAGATTGAAGCCTTCAGCTGATTCATACAGCCTTCAGACATCTATCACTTGCCAGTTAAGAGGACTTTTCAACTGGTTTTGCCAGACACCTCCTGGTCCAGTTCTAATGCTGGTTCTGCTTTTCAAGTGAGGTGAAATGGAGAGCATTTGGGCTGCTTCCAGTTATTTAGTGGTAAGGGGAAACAATTTGTGGCACCAGGACCTGAGTTTGAATACAACATGTGTAATGTGAACAAGACTTTGGTCTCAGCGCCTCCTTCCCTTTTCCTCCTCTGGCACAGCCTTCACTTCCACTTTAAACCAACCACACAGATCATCATTTTGCCTGAACTGGGACAAATTCTGCTTTAATTTAAGTACTGTATGGCTTGTTGAAAGGAGCCAAGTTGAAAATGGAAGTGGATTCTCCCAATCTTTTTCCTTGCAGCTGTGCCAGAGGAAGAAAGGGGAGGGGGCAAAACAGTTTGGATGAAATGACAATCTGTGGTTAGTTAAAAATAGAAGCAGACACTTCCAAGCTCCTCATCATCGCTGTGCTGGAGAAGCAGAGGGGAGACAGAGCGAGCCAGCTCTCGTATGCAAAGTGTGATTTCCAGTCCAGGCCACTATACGACTTCATCTTGCCCTTGGCACTAAAAAGAAGATTTGGGGCTAAGTCCTGGGGAGTTCTGGCTCAAATGCAAACTTGCTTTCAAAATTTGTCTAATATTTCTTTTTGATCTTGATACTTCTTCAAAAAGTATTCTTAGAAAGGCATTTTTCAAAAATAAAGAGAGTTATGGGATTGAGGCAATAAAACAGGCCACAGAGTTAAAATTAAGATATAAAAAGGGATTCTGGGGGCAGATTACACTCCACAGACACACAATCAAATGCACCTTGCTGTTTAAGTGCAAGTGATTGCAGGTAATTAATATGCAAATCATGCACAAATTTAAAATAACAACTAGTCCTGTGAAACATTTGTGCTGTGCAGAAAGGCCATTTCCCTCTCCAGTGTTCTTCTCATCTTTGTCAACTTTTTTTTGAGTTATGGAAACACATTTCTGTTTTCTGCAGATGCAGTACAATTTTGATTCCACCAGGATACATTTGGGGGAGAGGGGGAAGAGGGAAAGTACCCCAGCTTATTTACTTACTTGTGCATATATCCATCTGCATTCCCTGTTAGGTTCATCTGCATAACAGTCTGAAACTCCGTCTCATTACAGCAGTATTTAAACACGGTGTTGTTATGGTGACAGCAAAAGATGTACGATTTATTGTCAGAAAGACGTGGACAGTGGAATCCAAAATGGGAGCGGCCTTTGTAGTCTGTATATGGCTCACAGACTCGAAAATGTGTGGACAGAGCTGTAAGGCAAATAGCAATTTTCTCTCTAACTCAAATTGCAAAAGAAAAACAATAGATTCTGCAATATAAAAACTATTCACCGATTCAGCAGATGCTTGATGTATGCTTGTTACAAAGTCACAAGTTAGTTAAATGTTAAGGAACGAATAAATTGAAAGCTGAACTTCCGTAGTTAGGATATAATCCAAACAAAGGTTAAACTCTTTGACATGCCATTGATTTTTCATGTGAGAGATATAGCCATATACTTTCTTTTCCCTTTGAAATCCATGGGACAAAGTGGTTAACTCTGGTGGAATCATACCCTTAAATAACTCCAGTCCATTGATTTCCATACATTTACTTTATGATTTAGTTGGATAGCCCACATTGTTTACAGCTAATGGTCTTACGTAAAAAGCAAAATGTACGTCAGTGATATGCCAAAAATCAAAACAATCCTTAATTTACTTGGAACCCCAGGATTAGTCCCTGCAGTTAGAAATTGCTTTTTAAAATCAAAGCATACCAAGGTTGCTTCCAGATGACCTGTTTATGGAACATTTATCCTGGTTTCTTTGCACCATGATTGTGGTGAAGTTGTATGATGTTGTGTCAAACAATTGTCACCCCACACCTTCCAGTCTATTTCTCCACCACTTTCCATTTAACAAAAAGGCCGATTTTTTTAAGGGTGAAGCAGGTTACTTGTCTAAGATAAAATTCCACTGTTGAAGGTCCAGGGAACCTGTCCTTTTTTTCACCTGGCCACCTCATTTCAGGTATACATCAAAGACAGAATGCACATGTTTTGACCTCACAAGACCTAACTATTTATAGATGGAAATTAACTGCTGATTCACAATGTCGTTTTTGACCTTGGGTACAAAAGTCAAGTGATCCTGGCAAAAGATGCACACCACGGCAATCAGTTGAGAATGGAACGCTCACACTTGGATGGGAGGGTTTCTCTGCAACATATTCAGAAAATGAAAATTTGGAAAGGACCAGGCTCTGCTCCTCTCTGCATGGTATGGCAAAGCCCAGCCATGGAAACAGGAATGAACTTTTCAGAGAGGCTGATTCTATACATATTTTGCTATTAAACTCCAGCACTTCTTGTACTCTAGTTTGAAATATAGCTCAAAGGAAGCTCTAAATAGCTTTGCATGTGGTAACAATTAAAAATAAAACAAACAAAGAAAGAAACAGGAAATATGACTACTGCATGCAACAAGAAAAAAGATATATGAAATATGAACAGGATACTGCTAGCAGTGCTTTAAAAACACACAAAGCAATTCAGCCCCCAACCTGACATGCTGGAGGGGATTTGGATGGAGGGAACCTGCCCTTCTTTCCAGCCATGCCTGGCTATAGCAGCTTCTACCGGCAGGGAAGGTCTGCCATCAACAGGAGAGCTCTGACAGTGAGGAGTGCCCCATTGTGCCTGCCCAAACTGTGGGTGAAACTGCACGCCCCTTGCAGTTGTTGTTGTTTAGTTGTCTTAGCCGTGTCCGACTCTCCGTGACCCCATGAACCAGTGCATGCCTTGGAAACTCTCACTTTCAAACAAGGCATCTGAAGGGAGGAAGAGAGATAGGGAAGACCCTGCTGCCATCATCTAACAGCAACAGGTCTGATCTGGGTCTCCCCACTGTACCAGCCTGGGAGCTGATGCAATGAAGGGGCATTTCTCCTCTCCCAACTGCCCCAGTTTCTGCCCTAGTTGGTGTGAGGACTGGGGTTGTAGATGCTGCACTGGCTATGCCACTCCATCAACTCCTGCTGGTGCTGGCCAGGTGTTAGGACTGCATCCTAAATTAGTAAAAACCCTGGGCAACACAACGTACAATTTTACTTTGCTACGAAGAGAACATGAGGGGAGGAGAATGCAGATTTCATTGCAAAAGTAAAGACTAATGGCTAACAGGGGCCAAATATTTGCTCTGCTCATATAACAGATGGCATCATTAGATTCCTATAAAGCAGTTTCCAAACTATTAGAAAAAGGACAGATGCAAAATATCACTATTTTCCAGATCTCAGATAAGATTTGTAAAATTAAAAAAAATATGAACATCCAATGGCATTACCCCCGTAGCTCAGGCAGATTTCATTTGGCAGTTAGTCTTCTTTTGAAAAGAAAGGAGTAGAACATTTTTGGAAAAGTAATTCCAGTCTTTTATATCTCCATCAAAAGAACAATCGTTTTCTACTGCTGTGATTCTACAGATATCTGGATTCATATTAAGTGGATGGGAAAGAACACGCCTACACAATGGTCAACACTGCTGCTGTAGATGGTGGAGTAGTCACCACCCGAGCTGAGGAGCTGTAGCCCTATGTTGTCCTACTATTTCACTGAGAACGGCTGTAACTGATCTGAACAGTCTCAGCAGCCCTGGAAGACAGGGCATTAGAAGTGGGCAGCAGTTTCTGAGCGCCAGAGATGGCTTTGCTTGTTGTGCTACTGATACAGGAGAGGGTAGGGTTACATGCTTGTGCAGTTGGTGCCTGTTGTTAGTTGGGTCCAAATTAATTAGTTACTTGGTTAATTTGCAGCTCAGATATTCTAAGAAGTTGGATTTAACATCAGAAGTCCTCATGATAAATATGTATTTTTTAAACTCTTCCAGAAAGGAATATTAGCAGACCTGGGTTTGACCCCTGTCAATCTCAACCTGCTCCAGATTTCCTCAGAACCACTGCTACAACTTCTCATGGAGTGATGGGGTTGGAAAAGAAGTTCTACCTGTCATCTTTATTCTTCCCATGCCCACTCAAGGATCGTACTCTGCAAATGACACCACAGCCAACAAGATAGAGACCGTATTTGCTTTAAGTGCCATCAGGTTATATAGAACTATGATGTCAAATGGCAAAGGGAAGAACTTAAGGAAGAAGAGATAGGCAGGTGATGAAATTAACTGGCTGACTTACCTAGGTTTCTATGTTGGAAATGCTATAAACAGTTCATTGGTAGAATTGCACAGACCACTTGACTGCTCAGTTTTGGGCTATGTCAAAATACTAAACATAAAATGCATGCAAAACAAAACAAAACTCCATTTTAGATTGAGGAAGGAAGATCTGCGGGTATATTCTGTGCCAATACACATCTGGACACAAATTAGATTCCCCAGCACATCTGGTGCTTATCTGGATGAGACTAAACTTAATGACACTTTTCCATTCGCATTCTTGACCAAGTGAAATAAGTCTGACTATAGTATAGCTTGACTGGTGTCCAAAAATAGCAGGCTATATTTAACAAAACCCTACTGAATTTTAGTTCTTCTGAATCCTGCTTAATAAACCACTGAAATTAATGAATGTAAGTAAATCGTATCCATTAACTTCAGTGGGTCTACTCTGAGTTGAATACCACTGAACACTACCCAATATTTAGCAGATATCCTTATCTCTGCAAAACTCTTGGACTGATTCTTTAAGGTGTTTCTGCTGCAGAAAACTAAATGGAAGCATTCTTCTAGAATTTAAAAAGAAACCCAAGCCAAATAAAATACAAGGCTTACCTGCTGGCAAAAGCAAGGAGAAAACAACCATCAGCGTATTTAAGGATTGTAGACCACAACTTGTCATCGTTTTGTTTTCATCAATCCGTTTGAGAATTACCTGCTTAACAAAATGATATTTCAGAGTTAAGTGGCATCAGTGATTTGCATGTGTGCATTCATTTAACTAAAAAATAAAATAAAATGTTTTTAATGCTTTCTTCAAACTGTAATGCATGATGAGACCTCAAGGCACAATTCTGCAACAACTTTCACACATGTAAGGTTGCACACTTAAATGCTACTGAACATGCTCAGCTGCTATGTATAAATTTGATAGGGAATCTTTAAAGAGCACATTCAGGAACAGCAAGGTGGAACAGAAGTATATCCATGGCCCAGTATACCTAAAGAGCATCTCCATCCCCATCATTCAGCCTGGACACTGAGGTCGAGCTCTGAGGGTCTTCTGGCAGTTCCCTCACTGCGAGAAGTGAGGTTACAGGGAATCAGGCAGAGGGCCTTCTCGGTAGTGGCGTCTGCCCTGTGGAACGCCCTCCCTTCAGATGCCAAGGAAATAAACAACTATCTGACTTTTAGAAGACATCTGAAGGAAGCCCTGTATTGGGAAGTTTTTAATGTTTGATGTTTTAGTGTGTTTTGATATATGCTGTGAGCCACCCAGAGTGGCTGGGGAAACCCAACCAGATTGGCAAGGTATAAATAAAATAAATATTTGTTATTATCATTATCATCATGCTGTTGGCAATGATCCCAGTTAGAGGACGCTATGGTCTGACCTAATATATTCTATCTGCACTGTGGTCTGCAGTAGTGTGTTCAGATAATTCCCAATTGTTGGTGCAGACAACTTCATGGTCCCAGTTACCGCATACTGTTGGGAACCAACCTGGGCATTTCAGGCTACAAGCGGTCAGGTAAAAATGTGTTTCCTTTGGCCAATCAGTGGTGCTAGCTGCCAGGAAGAAGGCACACATCAACTGGGCAATGCAGCGAAGAGATCATCTTGATTTGCATACTATGCAAATAAGGCTGCCCAGACTTGGGCGACCGGCTATGTTAACACTATATAGGAAGCTTCCTTATGCAGTCAGACCATTGGGTCCTGCTAATTCAGTGTTGTTTACCCTGACTGGCAACAGCTCTTCGGGGTTTCAGACACGGAGTTTCCCAAGCTGTACCTGCAGATTCTGGGGACTCAACTTTCTGGGAATTTCTGCCTGTAGAGCAGCTGCTTTACAACTGAGCTACAACCTTCCCCCCATTTCTCTGCTTCATTTGAGCTTCTTCCTTTTCCATTCCATTCTCTTATCTTAGTACTTCCCAGCCTTCTCTTTCCTGCCTTTTCTTTTCCAGATTTTTAATTTTCACAGAACTTCCACCTCCCTCTCTGTCCCTTTCTCTTTCTTCACACCAGAGCAAGTCCAAACATTTTGCTCCTCACAGGCTCCAAAAGACGTTGGACTGGCTCCTTGGGATTCAAACTGTTTCCATCCCTCACTATGACATATAATGAAATTAAATGTATACACCAAAACATAAAATTGGACATTTAGTACTCTGAAAATGAAGGGGGTGGGGGAAGCTGCCTTTGTTCTCTTGTTCCTCCCTTAATAACAAAAATTAAACCCCAAACATCCTTTCTATCTCCCTGAACCCAGCACATACTGAAACTTTGGATTATAACCTTAGTGGACCTTTTTTTCTCTTCTCCTGCTGTACAGCAGCCTATGCATTAACAACATTGAATTTATTATTATAATAAAACTAAATATGTATATAATGCATTTCAAGTAAATGGCTGTTAGTTCAGTAATTCCCACAAATGTTTTGCAAGGTATGTAGGTTAGTACATATTGGGGGGTGGGGTGGGGGGTGGGTTATAACGGAGAAAATAGCAGCTGGCTCGGTTTGCAGCCAAGGCCAGATTTGGAACTTGGACCTCCCAGCAGGAGCAGACTTTGGTAATATGGCACCCTGAGTAAGGACAAAATTTGGCACCCCCTCCTAAATATTTCTTATTTTCACAATAAATCCTTTTGGTGCAGTTGCTTTGTTAGGAATCTTCTCAGTAGGTACCTGTATTATTATTATAATAATAATAATAATAATAATAATAATAATAATAATAATATGCACCCCCTTGACTCAGCACCCTGTGTGGGGGGAACCACTAACACCACCCAAATTCTGGCACTGCTCCCAGTTCTAACCCCACATTACCCCCAGGAATACCAATGGACTAGGTCAGGGACATCCGACTCCCAAGAGACTGTGATCTACTCACAGAATGAAAAACTGGCAGCGATCTACCCCTTTTCAGGGGGGGGGTTCAGGTTTGAACTTTTTTACAGGGGAAAACTCGCTCACAGAAAGATCGCTTAAGGAAGCGATCACAACAAAAACCTCCGTCTTCTGTCCTAGCATTCATGCGCAAATGGAGGCCGGGGCAAGGGGGGGCAGATGCTTATTTGCAAAGGAAAAGGAGCCAGCAATCAACCGCGATCTACCAAAACGTCTTGGGGATCGACCAGTTGATCCCGATTGACCAGTTGGACATTCTTGGACTAGGTGATCAAGAGGCAGATTAGGAGTGGACACTTACAGCCAGCCACGAAACTCAGGGGCCGACCTTGGACCAGCCACTGACTCTCAGCCTTTCAGGGCGGCTGCACGAATAAAGCAGGGAAGAGAAAGCCATGTTTGACACCTTAAAGCTCCTTGCAGGAAAAGATCCAAACCCTTCAGAGAATAATGGGAAGTTTGTTGTGGCAAAGAGCTCTGCATTGTGGCCAGGACAGGTGGGGAAGTGGGGACAGGAGGGAAATGCTGCTCCCTCTGTGGACATTTGGGTGTGAAGAAAAAAGTAGGCGTTGCAGATTAGGGGGCAGGCCAAATTTGAACAGAGTTAGAAATAACCACATCCTGGAGGGAAACAGCTCAGCCTATTTCTGAACTCATTCAAGGTAGTGGGGCTGCGCACTTCTAATTGCTCCAGCTCTCTCAGGTGCTTTCAATAACCCCAAGTCATTCTCTTGCCTATTAAAATGATTTACACCAATCCGACAATCTTTATGAGTAAAATATGAATCTTTGAAGCTATGACTCTAGGCTCCTAGCAGGAATGCCTGTCATTGCCATTATTACTGGAGATTTCATTACAGCCATTAAGAAATATATATATATATATATATATATATATATATATATATATATATATAAATAAACTGGGTTGAGGGTAGGATGTAAATCACTTTAAAATCTGTTAATATGCAGATTGTGTAACTTATAATATTGCCAGAGGAATCATTTGCAAAGGTCATGAAACTCTCAGATGAATTTGGCCAGATCTCTGGGTACAAAATTCATTTCCAAACATCAGAATGGTTGGGGTATCATATGCAGAAGAATCTTAAGTATGACATTGCCAAAGACATCTAATTCCATGGAAGAAAATCTCAGCTAGATACGCTGGGATTTGGATAACTCAGGAGTTTAATGACTCTAACCTGATGAAAGGAGACAAAGGGTAAAAGAGGATCTGTCCAGTCTGGAAAATTCAACACTTTCTCAGAAAGGAAGAAACTCAGTTATTAAAATAAGCATAGTACAATGTATTTCGTTTCTATTGTTAAAAGTCTCCTTAGACTGATGATGATTGATTAATTGATTAATCCAGAATTATATCTAACATACTTCATCAGCAATTAAAAATAGGTGGCTGGCATTCCTGAATATCAAACAATATTACAACACAGCCATGCTTGGGCACCTAAAATATGGGTTAAAAACTCTTTTTACCAGATACAGAGCAAAGTGATCTATCAGCAGATTTTTTTCCTGCTTCTGGCAAAAGCCTGGGTTTATCACCACTTACTACAATTTACTACAATGCTGAATGTGACAAGAAAGTCTTATTGGGTGACATGAAGCTTTAAGGAGAGACATGGAAGGCTCAAATTAGGATAATAATAAAGGAAGGATTGGTAAAGATCTTTTATCAGGTGAAATGGGATCCTGTGTCAGGAGCAGCTGCTCTTTCTTCAATACTTCCAAATGGGGATATTACAAATAGATTACTAAGGCTTCACGTTTCATTAAGGAATCACACAAGTTTTGAAATATTAATTTCAACTGCTAACCAACCGCATAGCGCATAACACCTGATTTATAAAATAATAGCAAATTTAGGACCATCTGGAAACTATTGAGTGAAATAGGAATTTGATATGTATCACTGGATAAATGCACATGGTTTGGGAATCTCAAAGAAACATTTCTACAATATTAGATAGGTGGTATTTGATACCAGCCAGATTAAACAAGATCTGTCCAAGGCTTAGTGGTCAGTGCTGGAGATGCAAGACACCTGGAACAAATACATTTCATATTATATGGGCTTGTCTAAAGATTAAGACATTTTGAGAAACTGCACTGACAGAAATAAAATATTATGGGTCAAGATCTCCCCAGCGATCCTGTTGCAACGTAGATTTGCCATCTTAAGGGTACAGTATTAAATGATGATTTTGAACTGATAGTTCATGTACAGGCTGAAGCTAAAATGGCAATATACCAACATTGAGAAAATGTTCTTTCACTTTCTACTGATTTATAGTTGACCAGCAGTTGGGATATGGCTTCTTTCATGAAATTGGTAACTATTACTAGGGTAAGAAGAGGTAGGCAGCAAAATAATACGTTTCTGAAAAATGGATTCTGTTTGTTCTTTATTGGAACAACAAAGTACAAGATTTGATCGATATAAATCCGTATTATTTTTTGTGGGAAAGGGAATGAAAGTATATAGCACCACACAGTTGGTTTCCACGTGAAGTTTCAGTGTTACACAACTTTGTTTTGTTTCAGTATTATAGAATTTGGCTTGTAGCCTTTAAGCCACACAGAATGTGATGGCTATTAGAACAAATAGGAACATCAATCAGTCATCGGTTTCCGTTGTTGAGGCTGAAGAACACTGGAATAAAAAATCCCTATTAGCTAGTTTGTGTTAGCTGTCTGTGGAAGCACAGGTACAATTCCAGTTACATAAGTTTGGCCTCCTTGTTAGCTACATCTATGAAGAAGCAGCCATGATTAAAAGACAGCATGAATACACCAGGGAACCGAATGAACAAGAGGCAAACTTTTAGTCCAGTTCCTAAAGAACAAAATGGAATGCCATTTACTCATGTTATGGTGAGAAAATGACTAGCGTGTGGGTCAATGCTCACCTCCTTTTTCCTTCCATCATTTATTATAGGCGCATTAGGATCTACGGTATATACAATCTATACTTGGCTTTCCGACTAAACACCTGTATTGAAGGGGAGGGGGGCATGTGCTTTGCATAGTTAACTCTGCCTGCATCCCTAGTGTGTTTCTTTGCAGATATCCCAATGTGCTTTGGCACGTACTGAACTCTGTGTTTACTCAGAAACTAGAAACTGCATGGCCAGGAATTTCTTGTCACTAAAATCTGATTTGCCCATCTTCCCTGGACTGATTTTTTTTGGGTGGAAAAGAGCAGGAAGGAAAGGGGTTAAAAGAAACCCCCATCAATGCACTGGCAGAGGAATGGGGAGGGGAGCACACCGCCCCGGCACCATTGGGGAGGGGGGGTACCATCGCGGCCACCCCCTGACACGCATCGCGCACCCCACCACGCACCACACCCCCAGGATGGAAGCCACACCCCCACAGGTGGCATGCCACGCCCCTGGGATGTGCGCCAGCCACACCCCCTCCTGCTCTCCACCCCCAGTGCTGGAGCATGCAGCTTCGCCTCTGCATTAATGTATCCTTCCTAGATGCATCCTGAGGAAAGAACCACAAAAGTCCATATAAGGGTAGTCTGAGCATAAAAAATAAAAGGGAGTGTGCGCGCTCATGTGCACACATATGCACAAATTTATGCACTGAGGTGTACACTGGTGCATCTGGCTAAATGGGTTTTGGGGTATGAAAGCTTCTCTGCATTAAACTTTTCCCCCTTTTTTTCTAAACCCGATTGTCAAGATTCATTGGTATATTCCAAGTAGTGGATAGTTTTTCAGATATCTGCTACGTTTCAGACATTTGTTTTAAAAAGTCATTCATCAGAAAATGATAGGGCAGAAAGTCACCAAAATTTGCCGTTAATAATAATAATAGTAATAATAAAAAATATTATTTGAACACCACCCATCTGACTGGGTTGCCCAGCCACTCTGGGAGGCTTCCAACCTAATAAAAGCCACAACGAAAAAACAAACATTAAAAACTTCCTGATATATTATTCTGTGAGCATAGTTTGAAATCTAAGCTGAGTAAATGTGTGTCTAAGCAGGAAAAGAAGTTAATTCCTACAGATATGCAGCCTTTTTACAGATGATTTAATTTTAACGTACCAAACTGAGGACTCAGAATTCTTCATATATTCAAAGTCCATCTTGGCATCTTCAGTAAAAATTACATCGCAGATTTTTGGGTCAAAAATGTCCTGAGATGAAATAAAAGGAAAACAATGAATAACTCAACAGCAAATGGTTAATGGCCTTCTCATCCTTGCTTTTTCCTGTAAGACCAATTGCAGTCATCAACAGTCGTCAACAGTTTTACCACACCTATCAGCCAATCACCCACTCCCACCACCTTTCTGAGTAATACCTCTCCCCACCCTCTCACTATATATAAAGGTCTGGTGACTTCTGTTTCAGTGTATCTGAAGAAGTGTGCATGCACACAAAAGCTCATACCAAGAACAAACTTAGTTTGTCTCTTAGATGCTACTGGACAATTTTTGTGTTAGTTGTTGGTCCCTGATTTTAATTTTTGTAACTATTTTGTAGATAGATAGATAACCACTTTGCTATTTCTTACGATATGGTGGTATACAGTGGTACCTAGGGTTACAGACGCTTCAGGTTACAGACGCTTCAGGTTACAGACTCCGCTAACCCAGAAATAATACCTTGGGTTAAGAACTTTGCTTCAGGATGAGAACAGAAGTTGCGTGGCGACGCAGCGGCACCATTAGCTAAAGTGGTACCTCAGGTTAAGAACAGTTTCAGGTTAAGAACGGACCTCCATAACGAATTAAGTTATTAACCTGAGGTACCACTGTATAGAATTTTTTTATATAAATAAACAAACATCTGCAGGTCTAAAAAACACAGTTCTGCTAAATATTGCTCTGACATCACAAAGTTGTTCTGCTAGGAAGTTCCAAGTACAGTGGATGCTCGGGTTGCGAACGTGATCTGTTCGGGAAGCATGTTCACAACCCGCCACGTTTGCGCACGTGTGGGTTGCGATTCTGCACATGTGCAAAGCACAATTTAGTGCTTCTGTGCATGAGCTGAAACCCGGAAGTAACCTGTTCTGGCTACTTCCGGGTTCAGCGCGGTGCGCAACCCGAAATCACACAACCCGAAGCATCTGTAACCCGAGGTATGGCTGTACAAAGGAGTGGCAAGGGGAATAGCTAAGGCACTGTAGGGAATAGGAGACATTTGGCCAGCTGAGAGTGGGAGCTGGACAAGCAAATGCAATGGGGAAATATGGGGCAAGGCCATGGTGGGCTTTGAGGTTAAACAGTAAAGTGTGTTGGGATCTGGGAGCAAACAGAAAACCAATGTAGTTGTTTAAGGAAAGGGTGCCACATGATCAAAGTGATGGGAGAGATTCAACATTTTGGGAGCTGTGTGCTCAGTATAGGCATGAGGGCCAAAGTAAGGCAACCAAAGACAACCAGAGAGGAGGACGGGAGAGTTTTATTTTTGCCAACTATTACTACGGCATTTATTTCTAAAGCACAACCAATCTATTAGTGTATGGGTTTAATGGGGGACACCCCATGATCAGAGCTTATTGGCTTTGGCAGCAAAGTTTACTGCAGAGAAAACCAGTAATATGGCTGAAGATTCTCATTAAACTGTTTCCCCCAAAATTAATAAACTAGGGCAATTTTTTCTTAAATTTATCATCCAATTGATATTCATCTGTGACATTTTATAATTAGTCAGTTATCTGGCAGCTTTTTTATGGTAACCTTAAACATGAAAATATTCACTCCTTACTGCTGACTGAAAGATTCAGTCTGAAAATGCACACAAGATGGAGTGTGTGACCTTGAGATCATATCTCTTCATCTTTCCTTTCAGATCACAGAATGATCATGAGGTCTATATATTCATAGCCCATGATATCATTCGTTAGTTTAATGAAATGCTTGCTATATAAGTGTTTCAGGCATTGTCACCAGAGACAAACCAGGTGTACTGGGAGGTAATCACCTGGAGTTTTCTTTTTTTAATGTACTTTCAGGTAGGAAATAGAATGTAAGTGATGCTCAGACAAACAGAATATTATTTGCAAATTCATGTACAGTATATCAAGTGTTCTGAACTGTTTGAACTGCTCAACGTGCCTGATAGGGGTCTGCTTGGAAGCCTCAGTTCCTAATGGTGACTGTGTTAAGGCCAGTTCATGCCACACTTTTCTAAAACAAAATTGCTCCAAGTGGCACACAATCTGCCAGGTGGGTGACATTATAAAAACAACAGAAGAAAAAGCAGATACTGTTTCTAAAAGAAGATGAAGAAGCAGTTGCATTCAAAGTTAGTAAGCTAAAAGGTCCTAAGCAGATGGCAGAATGCAGACTGACAGGTGGCCCAGTGTATTCTCCATTGACTCATGAAGCGAAATATGTCACAGTGTAGAAGGGATCCTTTTCAAACTAGGCAGTACTTCTACAGAAGAATAACTGAAGGAGGCTATTCCTCAGAATAGGTACCGTCTAGTTTGAAAATAATCCTCTCCACACACCCTGACATAGTCACTTTATGAGCTGATGGAGAATACACAGCAAAAACATGAGAGGTGCGAGATCAAGTGGAAAAAACCACCAGCACAACTAAAACCAGATACTATAGTATTAAATTACATGGAGTAGCATAGAATGGAGCCACAACGAAAAGAGAAAACCACACCATTCCTGTAATGTTAGAATTGAGCCTTAATGAAGATAAATGACTTTGCTCAGGCATAAATCTGAATTGCTGAAGGAATGAGCCTGGGTGAGTCTTGAACTTGCTCCCCTCCCCCCTTCCAGTCTGCCGCTGCCACAGGCGTGAAGAGTAGACTGGATATTTTTCGCTTCCTTTTTCAGCTAACTGTGGTGACTTGTTTTGTCTGAACTGAAAACTCTGGTTAGTGTTTCTATTTCACAACCTGAAGTTGGCTCATTTCCTGAAACCAGGGACGGGGAGCCAAATGTGGCCCTCCAACCCTGAGAATTCTCCCTACGCCACACGCTTCCCTGGCCCTGATCCATGTTCTTGCAGGGCCTGGATGTATCCTCCAAGTGTGATAAGGCCTCTGGACTGACTATGTGGAGGAGAGACAGATGCGGGTGTAGAAAAGTCTGACTTTTATGCAGCTGGAATGTAGCCTCTCTCTGATTGGCTACCTAGACAGACAGACAAAGGTGGGCGGAACCAGCACTTTGGGAAGGAGAATAAAAGGAGTCGTTTCAGAGAGAGGATTCTGATGGGGAGATGGTTTAAGAGAGAGCAGGAGGGAGAGAAAGAGAGTTGGTCCTGGTCTGTGTGTGTAACATCCACCCTGGGGCAAATATCTACAGCTAGAGAAAGGAGTCTCTGAGCTTAGATAGGAAGACAGTGTTGAGTGTCTTGGGAGAGCATTCAGACAGGAGTTAACCGGAGGGCTGAGATGGAGCCAGGAGAAGGAGAAGCTGTGAGGATATGGTCTCCTTGGGTCTCCTTCCAGTCAGGAGGGGAGAGATCTTCCAGAAAGAGAAGACTCCCAAACCAGGAAAAAAGGGGTGCGTGGGGATCCCCTGGGTCTGTTAGACTGCCAGAGGTATCTCAGGAGTATGACTGATCAAAGGCTGGGAAACGGACAGAAAGAACCAAAGTATTAAGCTGTAACACCTACACAACAACTAAGTTAAGGAACTGAAGTGAAAGAAGTGGAAATAAACTTTTGTCTAGGAAACCTGTAACATCTAACTGGGGAGTAAAAACTGAATTAAGCAGCTGACATTTAAAAGAAGCTGTGCATTTATTACCTTGTTTAGAAGCCGGTATCATCCACTAGATTAAGTATAATTATTAATAAGTTAGCAGTTTCCTGAAAGAACATTATCTCCTGACACTTTGTTCTGTAAAATAAAACTTTCTTTATTGGTTCAACTCCTGCCTGAGTCTTCAAGGATATAAGTTTACCCTCACACAAAAACAATACAATAACACATGGTGGCTATATTTAGAGCATACGTAGGTGGGATCTGCCACAATTGGTAGCCAGAGGAGTGGGATCTGCTACACATGCCAATAAAATCTACTTTGGAGAATATTGCAGCTCATCCAGTCAATAGACAATATGACATACATGAACAACAACCTTGATTGTAAATCAAGTCTGAGTTATGTTCATCACGACATAGCTTGCATTGAAATGTTTCATCTATGAAAACAGACACAGCTGTATTCTCTGCCACATTTGCCAAATCATTTGCAGCTGAGTTTGTTATAGCCCTCGGCCTTTTGTTATGTCATCGTTTTTCAATACTGTCACCACTGGATTAGAATTAATGGCATGATATTAATACTGGCCCATGTAAACAGATCACAACAGTAGTGAAACAGGCATGTGGCCACAGTACCAGGAGCAATGCAAGGCATTCCCAATACAGTGGTACCTCACGTTACAGACTCCGGTAACCCAGACGTAGTACCTCGGGTTAAGAACTTTACCTCAGGATGAGAACAGAAATCGTGCAGCGGCAGTACAGCGGCAGCAGGAGGCCCCATTAGCTGAAGTGGTACCTCAGGTTAAGAACAGTTTCAGGTTAAGAACAGACCTCCAGAACGAATTAAGTTAGTAACCAGAGGTACCACTGTTTTGTGGGGTCCTGCCACAGCTCACATTATACACAAGGCTGTGTTTAAATATTAACCCCCAAATTTGGTATCCCCTCCAAACTGATGTCAAAGTTTTGTGCTAGGTAATACATTAAAATCACCAAAGGTCTCACATATCTTAATGATTATAGAAATGAATATTATTAAATAGCAAAATTATAAAACGCTTCTAGAAAAGGATAACTACATCTAGAAAACTGTGTATGGCTTACATCTAGGCATTAACATAAAATGCGTTGGAAAGCCAAACTGTCACCCAAGCCATCCAATGTCCAAGGTGCCAGGTTGGATTCGGATGACGTGATTGGACCAAGTTAGCAAAAATCAAGCATACTCTTAAGGTCAAATTCCAAGGTGCTACCTTGCCTCCCCAAATCCCTCCACTGCTCCCCTAAACCACCAATCTCTGCCCCTCCCCACCCAGTTTCAGCACTTAGCTTTAGATTATGAATATTTGAGAACCCCAAGCTGCCTTCTCCCCAAATGGCACTGCTCACCTTCCAAATATCTTACCTGTAGGGACAGTTCTGCTCTCCAATATCACCAGATAGCT